GGATTTCAGATTCTGCTAAATTAAAGAATCGATTTCACTAAATTTAATGAATTTTTTACCCTTGAAGAATGAAGATCCCGTTAGAGAAGGTTTTTCAAATCTCATATTTCAATCAGGACTCGATCGATAGAGCTGAAATGTGTTTGGATGCACACTACAGTAAGCCCTACCTTCAAAAACATTTTTAGGAAAGATCGAAAGATATGCATTTCCCTCAAACTGAAACCGATTCGATCTCGAAATCGGCGTTTGTTTTTGTTTTATTTGAAAAACATTCAAGCTGTTGAAAAAACATTCAATTGTCACTAGCATTTTATAGTCGTGTGAGATCGAGATGTAGCCACAGATCGTGATTATTATGCTTCATTGGCTTATATTGTTCGCGATCACATAATTGGACGATGGATTCGAACACATCAACATCATTTTGAATGCGACGCCAAACAAGTATATTATTGATCAATGCAGCTTTTGATGGGTCGTACACTTTCAAATACAATGCTAAATTCAGGGATTAATTTAATTCAATTAACACCATTCAAATTAATGTATGGTCGTTCCTATCGACTCCTATTCGATTTATCTGAACCATTAACATCAGTCGTTCAACCACAACAATACCTTTCCAAATTACACCAATATTTAGTACAAGCGAAGCAGATGGTTCGGGATAATATCCAACATCAACAACATCAAATGAAAATGCGATATGACCAGAATCGAGTGCAATATCGAAATACAATATCGGTGATTGGGTTTATATTTGGAATCGTGGAATAAATCAAACATTTTCACCGAAGTACAAAGGACCATGTCAGATAATACGCAACAATGGGAATTTAAAATATCAATTCAACATCCTCATACATCTATCATTTCACCAGGTCATGTCCTGGATGCGACCAGTATAATAAGGCCATAGCTACGGCAAGTCACAGTGGAAGAATAATTCGATCCAATTGTTCCATATGATTCATTCACCTGAGTCTGCGCAACCTTGGTATCTGGACATTAGTCGACTTACCCAAGCCTGATCAACTTCGGTATTTTCATCTAATTGTTATGGGATATAGCACTGAAAACAAAATGGCTCAATTATTCTTCAAACTAAGGTTTCATTTCCTCCACTCTATCAAATCATCATTCTGCAGTGTATATTCTGATTAGACATTCATGTGATTGGCCTTGCTAACTTCAGTCATGAATCCAAAGACTATCTGTAAAATATGGTGAATAACAGCAATAAATGGTAACAATATATTGACATTAGATAACTATTAGCATTCAAAATTCTAATATTTTTACATGAGCATAAAAGCTCTGAAAGAAAAAATTTTCCAGCCCCATTAATTAGTCTCAGCATTTTTTCTTTTAATTTCCTTGTTTATTATTCTGCTTTGTTTTTGATTTTTAAATTGAGCCTGCGACTCAATTTTTTGCAAGCGAGGGGCAGTGTTATAGAGCCATTTATACAGTCGGTTATATACACGTTATTCATTCTTTTTTATCTATGTGTGATATTCGCATATCAAATTATATGCATTGTCAGAGTTCTATATTGTTTCTGCGCTCTCAATATGTATTCATTTTTCTCTTTTATTTTCTTTGTTCGTATATTTCTTTTTCTTGTCTAGAACATTCATTCTAGCAGTAAGGGGACACCTCCTATATCCCCATCGGGATATAAAACATGAAATTTCTTCGTAAAAACGATTAAGGGGAAATTACGACATTTTGGGGTAAAATTGACTTCACCATTCGAAAGAGCTCGAAAAACTACATCGGATTCTGTTGTGTTTGATCAAAAGTGCATCAAGCACCCAGCAACTATTTTTTCAAACAAAAACCTTTAA